TTTTAACACCCCCCCGTGTGTGTGTGTGTGTGTGTAGGCCAGAGGACAACCTTGGGTGTCATTCTTCAAGCACTGTCCATCTTTTACTCTTTGAGAAAGAATTTCTTTAGCTACCCAGCAAGTCTCAGGGATCCATATGCCGCCATCTTCCCAGCACTAGGATTATAAGTGCAAGCCACTATATGCCTGGTTTTGCTTGTTTGTTTGTTTGTTTTATGTGTTCTGGGAATGAAACTCAGGTCCTTGTGCTTGCAAAGGTAAGCATTTTACTGACTGAGCCATCTCCCAGTCCCTATTTCAAATGCTTAAAGAGGAACCAGAGTAAACATGGGGCTCTGAAAATGTGAAGGCCAGATCAGACCATCTTCACGAATACCACAGACCTCCTCAAAATAACCTTCTTATAGTTCTAGTCCCTCCAGAATAGTAAGGCTCACAAGGTCAGATTGTGCTATCTGGCTCTTATGGCACAGATCTCAAGCCAAGACAGGTTTTCTTTGGAGCTAGCCAAAGAACTCATCTACTAGATTGTTTGCGATGCATACAGTGCTCCATACTATTGCCGCTTCCTGGTAGGATCAGCACCTTACAAAAGCCTGTTATAAAAGAATAACATGCCATCTTATATGCCTATAAGGAAAGACACCTGTGGCACATGCAGCTTAAAAACTCAGTCCTCAAAGCCAGGCGTGGTAGCTCACACCTTTAATCCCAGCACTCGGGAGGCAGAGGCAGGCCGATTTCTGTGAGTTCAAGGCCAGCCTGGTCTACATAGTGAGTTCCAGGACAGCTGGGGCTACAGGGAGACCCTGTCTCAAAAAGACCAAAAAAAAAAAAAAAAAAAAAAAAAAAAAAAAACCAAACAAAACCTCAGTCCTCAAAACACACCCATTCTGATTTGATGTATGTAAATTGTAATGCATCTATACTCTCCACATACAAGCACATAAAGAGAAATCTGGATGTTTATTTCAATTGTTCACAATGGCTATAACTGAGATGCTCTAACTACCCATCCATCCATCCTTCCATCCATCCATCCCTCCATCTTTTTATTGTTTGAATTGTCTATAGATCACCTGGAGTGGATGTAGAAGAGGCCACCTCCATAAAGCTGGTCACCAATCAAAATGAAAGCCTGTTATAAATGTAGAAGCAAAGCTTAGCATGGTGGTGCACACTTGTAATCCCAGCACTCAAAGCTGAGGCAGGAAGATGGGTCAGCCTGGGCAAATAAGACTCCCATTAGAAAAAGAAAGTCAGCTGAGCATGGTGGCACACACTCATAATCCCAGCTGCTCAGGAAGCTGAGGCAGGAGGATTGCTGTAAGTTAGAAGCCAGTCTGGTTCATAGGGAGTTCCAGGCCTGTCAGGGCTACATGCTGAAACTGTCTCCAAAAACCTACAATGAATAAGAAGGAAAAAGAGGAGGAAATAAAGGAGGGAAGGAGGGCAGGAAACATCGGGAACAGTGCACACAAAGCCATCTGCTCTCTAACCGAGACAACTTGGACTTCGTTGGACGGGGAAGTAGAGTCAAGGGCAGCGGTCATTACCAGTCTCTTGAGCCAGTCCTGTCCTATAACCCTGGCCTCTGTAGAGGGCTGGCACCTACTTCCTGTGATGGGATTTTACCAGCAGAGCTGAGGAGGAGACCAGCCAACAACATGGGGAAGAAGGAAAATGCTCAGTCTCCAGATGGCTCCTCACAGTGTTTCCAAAAGAGAGAGAGAAAGGAAAGGGTCTTCTAGATCATTCCCACACCAGATAACCATCCTCTAAGTGACTGGCAGATGGCTAAATGTGCTTCTGGATGTCAATTCTTCAAATGTTGCTTGACCTTACTTTTTTTTTTTTTTAATCCATAAGACAAATGATACTTCCACATGGTTTTGAAATCCCGCAAGTTCAAGGGGAGGGCAAACACTATCGCCAAACCTTCAACTATAATAGCAGGCAAAGACTTAAGCAAATACTTTCCCACTGAAGTATTTCAAAATCCAGAAGTCCAGCTGTTACTATTGGGTGCAACTTTTTCAACCTGTTTCTAGGCTAAACATTTTTTTTTTCTGGGTAAGATCTAAATTTAGTGCAACTGCTTTTAGTAACAAATATCAGTGTTAGAACAGATTCATATAAGTTTTTAAATGATAAGTTTTAAAAACAGTTCTCATCTCCACTTAAATAATAAAACTATCCTATCACTTGTCAAAACACAAGAACATAAAAATTGATTTTATTTTCACTTTATTATGGTTTGAAAGTGTATCCATACAATGGCTCTGTTTTTCTCCTTTCAAGAAAGTATTCAATAACTCACATGAGAAATTCAGTGCTTCATTATAAAATGGACTTTGTGTTAGAGGTAACTTTGTCCAACCGTAGGTTAACACATGTGTTCTGGGCATGTCTAAGGTAGGCTAGGCTGAGCTATGATGCTTAGGACACTAGGTGTATCAAATGTACTTTCCACTTAAGATATTTTCAGCTTAGGATGAGTTTCTTGGGATGCAACCCCATCCTAAGTTGGGGAATGTGTATCTTCCTAGATGCAGTTTAGAGTGATGAGTGAGAATGAGGGCTCTGATGCTCATAATCCCAGTGGCACGACCTGCTGGGTGTGTTAGTCAGCTCAGGCTGCCAGAACAAAATGCCTGCCAGACCCAGTGGTCATTGTTACCCCTCACTTAAGTCTCTGCAGAAAGATAGCAACAGTGCCCACCTCACCATTCAAATAAAGGAGAGGTTAAGTGGAAATAAACACCCCAAGTCAGTTACATGGAAAAATAGCTGAATTCAAATGGGAGGTATGTGGTGGCGCACGCCTTTAATCCCAGCACTCAGGAGGCAGAGGCAGGCGGATCTCTGTGAGTTCAAGGCCAGCCTGATCTACGTAGTGAGTTCCAGGACAGCTGAGGATACAGGGAGACCCTGTCTCAAAAAGACCAAAAAATAAAAATAAAAATAAATAACATTTATGGATCTGTGGGTATGGGTCAGTGGGTAAAGTGCTTGCTATGCAAGCATGAAGATCTGAGTTTAGATGCCAGCAGCCACAAAAAGCTGGTGTGGTGGCACACGCCTGTTACCCCAGTGTTGGGGAAACAGAGGCAGGAGGGTCCCTGGGGCTTGCAGATTGGTCAGGCCAGCCATACTCCAGGATCAGTGAGGGAATCTGTCTCAAAGACTAAGGTGGAGAATGATTGAGGAAGACAGCTGATGTTGACACCTCTGGCCTCCACACACACATAAATATGCAACCCCTACATATGTGCACATATGCACATGAACATGTACATATACATATACACATACATATAAAAGATATTTAAAACAGCAACTGACAGTAAAACTACATATCCAGTCGCTAAACAATTTGGCCTCATGTTACCAAGAGTTTCATGAAGATGTGCCCACACAGGCCTGAGGACAAGGCCCACACTGTCTTCCCATTTGACTACTGTCTTATCTAAATGATTTTCCTGACTGTAACATTGTAAGATTATTTTCATATTTCAAATATGCTTATAAGATATACTTAGAATGAATTTAGAATTGAAAACAATTTCTGGGAAGTACCTAGACAGCCCAACCAATTTTGTTTTCCTGTTTGTGTCTGTGAACATCAACTCCTCCTCCATCATGACATGCCACCAGGCTCCAGCATGTAAAGATATAATCCACCTTAAACCAGCAAAGAGAAGGGGGTGGGGGTGGAGGCTCAGCCCTCAACATCTGGAAGGTTGAGGAAGGCATTTGTTGTTCTTGGCAACCCAGAGATAGCCTCTACCAAGTCACCACCTCTGCTTTTTCCTTCCTTCCCTGTCCTCCTTCCTTCTCTCCCACCAGGTCTCCCATTCTTTTTGTGTGTTTTTTTTATTTATTCTTTTTATTTTACATGTATGAGCATATTGCCTGCATGTTTGTAACTATACCCATGTTGTACAATTCCCACTGTGGTCTGAAGAATGTGTTGGAGCCCCTGGAACTGGAGCTACAGATGGTTGTTAGCCATCATGTGGGTGCTGTGAATCGAACTCCAATCCACTGCTCTTAACCACTGAGCCATCTCTCCAGTCCCCCTTTTTTTTTTGTATTTTGAATTTTTGAGAATTTCATACACAAGTATTATTTCTGAATTATTTTCATCTCTCCAAGCCCCTCAATTCCTCCCATGTTCCCTTTCAAGTTCTTGTCCACTTCTTTGATTTACTGTTTTATATAATATATATATTTATAAATATACATATATATAATGCACTAGGTCCATTTAGTGGTGCTTGTGTGTACCTGTGTTTATGGTCACTCACTTAGAATTAGATAACCTCTTGGAGAGCGTGTCCCTGGAGAAGCTCCATTCCTCAGCATCCATTGATTGCCTGTGGCTCTTCAACTGAAGGTGAGACTCCACGGAATTTCATATATCCACTGTCCTAGTTTGTTTCTCCATTGCTGTAACAAAACACTCTGACAAATGCCAGCTTGGGGAGGAAAGGGTTTATTTGGCTTACATCTCCCAGGTTGTAGTTCATCACTGAAGGAGCGCAAAGTAGGAACTCAGGGCTGGAACCTGGAGGCACAGGCCATGGAGGAACACTGCTTACTGGCTTGCTCCCCTGGCCCCTGCTCAGCCTGCTTTCTTATGCAACACAGGTCCACCTGCCCAGAGACGGCACCACCCACAGTGGGCTGGGCCCTCCCACATCACATAACAATCAAGAAGATGCCCCAGAGACATGGCCACAGGCCAGTTCAATGGAGGCAATTCCCCAATTGAGGCTCCCTCAACTCAGGTGTGTCAAGTTGACACTTAAGCTATCCAGCACATCCGCCTTGGCATGTCAACTGGTTTTGTCATTATGCAGATCTTGTTATACTACCATACTGTGGAGATTTCATGGGTATAGCTTCCCTATCATGTCTAGAATGCATTAACTAAGAGCAGGTGTCTTATCCCTCTGGTTCTTACATTGTTTCTGTCCCCTCTTCTACAATGTTTCCTGAGCCTTAGGTGTAGAGCTAGGCACCTCACAGATACTTATTCACTGCCTTTGACCAGTTTTGGAACTCTGTTAATAGTCTCCACCTGTTGCAAAAAGTAACTTCTTTGATGAGGAGAGGTATGCTTATCTTTAAATGAGGGTATGTATTTAGAATATAGTAAGAAATTATTTTGGTCTAGGAAAGTGGCAGAAGGAAGTTTTTCTCTAGAGTCTGTGACCTCTCCAGTTATGTGTACTCGGCTGTGTTTACTGTACCACACATGAATTCCCACCCACGGAGTGTGTCTTAAGTCCAACTGGACAGCTGCTGATTACCCCCAAGATAGAGTCCAAGATTCTCCCATTCTTGGAAAGTCCCGTCCTTCACAAGTCACTGCATAAGAACAGGTGGAGAGAAGGTGGAAGAACCTGGAAAACCAGGAAAAGATTTATCCAAAGGGCAATAGAAGCCCCTGAAAGTTTTCTTAATAGAAATGTTCAGGTTTCACTTCTAAAGATGGCAATGCCTTCTCCTCTGCAGGTGGTCTCAGTAAGCCTGGAAGGAAACGTTTTCTGTCTGTTTCTGGGAGCATCGGCTCCTCGTAGATCATGACAAGTTGCCTATTGAGAGAGGCGAGCATCCACACTGCAGATGAAGGCTGGGTGTTGCTCAGTGCTTACCTAGTGTCCTAGTTTGCTTTCTGTTGCTGCGACAAAAACACTGACCAAAACCAAGTTAGGGAGGAAAGGGTATGTTGCATCTTACTCTTCCAAATGACAGATCATCACTGAGGGAAGCCAAAGCAGGAATTGAGGACAGGAACCTGGAGGCAGGACCTGAAGCAGAGACCATAGACGAATGCAACTTACTAACTTGCTCCTCTGACCTGTGCTCAGCCTGCTTTCTTATACAACCCAGGACCACCTACCCAGGGGTGGTACCACCCACAGTGCGCTGGGCCCTCCCACACCTACCAACAATTGAGAAAATACCTTATTAAACCTGCCCACAGGCCAATTCAATAGAGGAAATTCCAATTGAGTTTCCCTCTTCCCTGGTGCATCAAATTGACAATTGAAGCTATCCAGTGTACCCAGCATGTGCAAGGCCCTGGGCTTGGCACCCAGAACCAACCCTCCTCTCCCCCCACACACAAGAGGAAGGAAGGAAAGGACGGATGAATGAATGAATAAATAAATAAATAAATAAATAAATAAATAACTGCAAATGTCACAATAGTCTATGTCTTATGTGGTCTACATCCATGGACTTTCAAATGCCAAGAGAGTCTTCTGTATTTGCTAATCTTGTCTCTGGTTTCAGTTCAGGTTGGAGGAATGAGCATCAGTTCTAGCCTTCCCTCCCACCACCATTTTGAAACAAAATGTAGCACTGATCCATAATCATGTTAGAAATATCCTTATAGATGAAAAAATCCTGAAAGTGTCTTGTAACACAGAAGGCAGTAGATCCAATTTAAAAAGGACCCCTATACTAACTCACACATAGGAAGGACTCTTGCAGGAAAGAAGATGAAAGAGGCTCCAAGGACACGCCAAGGCCAGAGGTAACAGACACTGAGGGCCAAAGTGGTGGGCACCTAGTGGAAGATTACCTGGGACAGAGAAGAGGCTTTCAGATCAACTATCCCCATCTCTGCTGCCCTAGGTACCAAGAAAGAGGCAACATTACCAAACTGACATTGTGAGTGGTTCTTATTTTTTAAAAATAAATAAAAATTGATAATTGAGTAGAAACTCAAGTTATAGGCTGAGCAGTAGAATGAACCACCAAAGGAGTGAACTTGTGCTAGTATCAAACAAGTGTGTTCATTACTTTTCTCATTGTGACAAAATACCTGACAAAAGCAATTTAAGGAACGATGGTTTATTTACTCTGGCTCACAGTTGGAGGGTATCACGTCCATCCTGACAGGGAAGTCACGGTGGCAGAAGCACTGGTCACATCGCATCCCCAGTCAGACACAGAGGGAGGGAGATGGATGTTGGTGCCCAGCTCACTTTCTCCTTCCCTTCAGTGAACTGCTTCTTTACTAATTGTTGAATCTGAGGGTGTTCCCTCCCACTCATATTTTGGATACAAGCCTTCTGAGAGATAAATGTTTTGCTAAAATTTTCTCCAGGTCTGATTTATATTTTCATTCTAACATTATGTTTAAAGAGTAGAAGTTGGGGCTGGAGAGATGGCTCAGTGGTAAGAACTCATACTATTCTTTCAGAGGTCTGGAGTTCAGTTCCCAGAACCCACATGGTGGCTCACAATTGCCTGTCACTCCAACCTTAGGGGATCTGATGCCCTCTTCTGGCCTTCAGCTGCACCCACATATGTGGCATACATTCATACAAACACACATACACACACACACACACACACACACACATTCAGTTATATACCTCAATACTGCATATTACTGGTATTACTATAACTGTGTGTGTGCACCCACATGAGCATGTATGTGTGTGTATGATGTAAGACCTTTCCCTGACTCATCTGCTATCCCAGTTTACAGAACTGTGACAGACCAGGCTCTGATTCAGGCTACATCTTACACTGACTCTGCATGCCTCATTAAGTGAGTAAGTTATCATTGTTTTGTCTTTTAAAACAGTTGCGGTCAGAATTAAATGGCAAATACCTGTCACAGAATACAGTAGGTTCTTGTAAACTTCATCACCCCGTAGAAATCAAAGCAGTGGTGTTTATGGTTTCTCCCATGGTGCCGCCTTTATTTTTAGCTGAGGGAGCCAGCCCTCAGTCATCCTGAGTCCAGAGGTCGAAAGGCAAAGCTGTTGAAATGCTTAGCAGGCCTGCAGTCCCATCTGCTCTGCATTAGGCGGCCTCCCTCTGTTTGTTTTTCTTTGTGTTCTATCATTTCCAATTCTTATGTGAAAAATTTGGGCCCATAACAACTTCTATATCCCATGTTCTAGCTCTGGGCATGTTCTGGAAAGTTTACACGACTTTCTTGTTGCTGTTGTCTTCCTGTGGACAAGGATTCTGAAGCAGGCTCTGGGAGCGCTTTGCTGAAACCTTTGTGTGAAAGCTTGATGCAGCTGGACGACACTGAAACCTGAGGATGACACATGAGGAGAACTGGAGCAGTTCCTAGGGCAGTCCCCTTCTGTTGGTCTTAAGGGAACATCTGAAGCTAACTAAGGTTGTCGAGGGCTGGGCAGAAATCTCGAGCTCTCTCCTTTGGGGTAGAAATTAAATATTGAAACTAAGAACAGAAACATACCACTCTGGAAGGATGTGGAATATTTTAAAATCACATGAGGGGGCTGGAGAGATGGCTCAGTGGGTAAGAGCTGGTCTATAGAGGACAGAGTTCGGATCCCAACATCAGTCAGTTCACAAATGCCTGTATCTCCACTCTTGGGAATATGATGCTCCCTTCTGACCTCTCTGGGTACTTGCACACACCTGAGCATACATACACACAAAATAAAATAAAATAACAATCTTTTAAAAGTCACATGACTATAAAATCAACTCATCAGATTAACAACATTGGTTACTACTATTCACCAGCAGTATTGGTATGCCAGACTTCGCTAAACACTGAGCTATTTAAACCTTACAACAAGCCTGTATGCCATGCACAGTGACTCCTGCAGCTATAAGTGACAGAAAAGCCACCTTCAAGTGACTCAGGACAGAAAGGGATATTATTGTTTGTAACAGTTAAAAGTAGAGATTTAGTTCTAGTCTTCAGTGAGATGTGCTCAAGCAGCTGTCTCTAAATATCTCAATCTCTCACCTTCTCTGCTCTCTAACAACTTTCTCTTTAGGTTCTTAGAGTCAGCACAGAAATTCCAGACTTTCTCATGGTTGCAAAGTGGCTGCGGCTATTTCAGAGCTCACATCCTTAATCTATGCCACTCAAGGAAAGTGTGAAGAAGTGTTTGAATTCACTTTTTCTCAGTGGTCCAAAGTGGGTCATGTGTCCATACCCAAACAGACCACTGGTTGTGGGACGAGGGGAAGGTAAAAGAGGTTAACTGATTTAGCCTCTTGGAATGAAGGCAGGGGCAGCCTACCTTCCACGAATGAACCATATGTAGCAGCAGTCTCAGAAATGAGAAGAGGTTGTTTCTCAAAGGAAAATAGGAATAAGGTTGATCATAAAAAGAAAGATGGTAGCTTGCATAGTGTCCTCCAAAACTATGAGAGCTAGTCTTCAGGGAGGAGGCTTCCAGGTCAGTTCCAGCTCCATTCTCCAAGTCCTGTGTCTGAAGGATGTCCTATCTTCAGCAGTAGAGTCTTAACTTCAAGTTCTGGGAGGCAATCAAGAACTATGGCAATAGCCTGTGTAATTTGGGGAGTCTCTTGAACTACCCTGGCCAACATGTCAAAGGAAGGTTTCTCCTGTCTGGCACTGTTTCTTGTCATATAGCCTTCAGCTGTATATATGGACTCATGTGGGAATATTGTATGTATAGTTTTTCAGTAAGCTTTTGAACCAATACATCTCCCTGTGGTTTCTCACACCAGATAAGCATTATCTCCCCTCTCTCTCTCCCTGTCTAACCCTCCCTCCTCCCTCCCCAGTTAAAGTACCCACATTTTCCCCATTTCACCTTTGATAATACCTGTCTCTGGTCGCCCCACCCCATATCCTGAGCTCCTTCTTCCCCTTTACCCCCATGGTTCCTTGTATAGAAAATCAATCGACAACCCCAGCTTTAAGGCCTAATAACCACAACAGTGACTGGCACAGCAAATGATATTGGTGCAGTAGTGGCATGTTTATCTTTGGGGTAATCAACAGCTACCTAATTGGGAGAAAAAAAAAAGCCTACTTAGTGCGGGGAGGGATTTCATGTGTGGTACTGTAAACAGCCAAATACACATGGCAGGAGAGGTCACAGATCTTAGAGAAAACCCTAAGGCTTTCACATCCCCAGACAAATGTAATTTCTTACTATATCCTAAATGTGGACAAGTATGCCAGTCACCACTCATCAAAGAAGCTTCTTTTGCAAAGGTGGAGACTATTACAGAGTTCCACAACTGGTCATATACAAAGAATAAGTGTCTGTGAGGAGCCTAATCCTAAGTGACACACCTACAATGGAACCACTACATGTAAGGCTCATGGAACATAGTGAAATGGGGTAGAGAGAACACTAGTGACTCTCTCAACTCTCATCAATGTCATTCCCTCATGCAACAGAGGGCAATGTACACAAAGGGCCACAAATGGCCGAAGACTAAAGAATAAGGCTCTGCAGCGTGTGGGTTCCTGGACAGGAATCCTATGCTAAACTTCAGCCACCCAGGGCTCAGGGACCATTGTGGAAGAAGGAGCCAGGGGAGGAGGTACATGACCATATGGAAACAGAGTCTTACACGTTCTGGGGCCTTGTTCATATGAACCTACAGCAATGGTGTCAGCATGCACAAGACCCATGCAAACTCAAGCAGACAAAACCCCACCACAGAATCAGGGAGATAGGCAACAGGCCCCAACCTTAGCCAAAGAACTACTGAAAGCTGATTACTGCTGAGTGAGGGAGAGTTGATTGTCTTTAAGGGAGTGACTCTAGATAGGCTGACTAGACCCCAGTGGATGAACTTGCACTGAGGGGCATCTGGGTACACTAACTTGACTCAATAGGCCTTAACATAAATGACAGAATACATGGGGTCTGGTGTGTGTGTGTGGGGGTGCTATAGGAGGGTGATGATGGGGGAGGGGTATAAAGATGATTAAGATGTTTGTATGAAATACACAAAAATTCAATAAAAATACACGTACAAAAAATGGAAGATGGATGCTGGGGATATAGCCAGCAGTGGTTACTATAGTCTCTCATTCATTCATTTAAAAAGGTGTCCAACACTGCTTAGGAGCTAAGATAGTCCAGGGAATAAGAATCCAAAATCTCAGTGGCATTCTGATATATGACCACTTTACCTACCTGTACCAGTGTTGGACGATCCCCAAGTATCTCTGTGCCTCTACACAAAGGTCTCTTCTAGTACTCAAGAACTTTTCTCCACCTATGAACAAGACAGTCTAGATGCACCAGAGGTTTAATGCCCCCAGGGACATAGAAAGCCAATGAGGTATAGGGGTTAGGGACAATACTCCAGTACAGCATCCCTAGTAGGGAAGTTCTGAATCCTCAAAAGAGCTCTCAGAGGATTTCCAAAGGACCAGCATACACAGAGTGAAGAGCTTATCGATAAACACTCCTTTATTGCATTTACTGCCTTCCTTGCTCTTTCTTTCCCAGATCCCTCTCTTGTATGCCTCAGGATCACCCCACCCCAACAACCCACACCACAGCATCTGTTTCACACTCTGCTTTCAGTGGTACCCAAACTCAGATCATCATTGGCTTCATGGGCTTACATGCTGGTGGCCGGAAGATGCAGATAATAAAACTAATGAATAGACAATATGTTAGACGCAGATAGGTGTTGTGGAGGAATATAGAGCGGGGAAGGTGATAGAATGATTGGATAAGCGTTGGTGCAGTTTCAAATAGGAAATCAGACAAGGCTTTACAGAAAAGGCAACAGGTGAGCGCAGCCCTGAAGAAGGGGTATCAGGATAAGCTGTGCTATGTATGATGAGCTAAACACAGGCCCCACATCACATTGGTGCAAACAACAGAGTTTGTCTCTCACTGAAACAAGATGTGGAATGTTGTTCCACATGTAACCAGTGGAGAGAACAGAGCTGGCTGTCATGGAAGACAGAATAGAAAACTTAGGTCTCACATCACCAAGTCTAAGTTCATCCCTGAATCCACACACATCATCAGTTTGCTCATCATCCAGAACTTGTGGTGTGCACCCACAAATCACAGAGATGAGGAAGTAGAATCACCAAGTGTCAGGGTGATAGAGAGCTAGAGGAGTCTGAAGACAGATCTAATGACATCACTGTTCACTCTCCTGATCACAAAACCTTCAGTTTAAATATACACTCTGTCCTTATGGGGGAAGAAACAGTCACAGAATCTCAATCAAGACACTCAAAGTACAAAACAAATTTGTACAGGGACATTCATCACACCTTATTTGTAACAGCAAAAAACTAGAAACAACTCAGGTATTCAGCAAATGTTACTCTGATGGACTGAATAAAGTGTGGTCTGCCCACACAATGCACTGCTGATGCCTCTGTGAAGTGAATGGTGAGATCTGTAAACAGGCGTGACTGGAATGCAAGATGGGGAAGAAAAACACGTGGTGGCACAACCTTTGACCTCAGTGCTCAGGAGGCAGAGGCAGGCAGATCTCTGTGAGATTGAGGCCAGCTTGGTCTATATAGCAAGTGTCAGGCCAGCTGGGGCAATAGGGAGACCCTGTCTCAAAAACAGCATAAAAAAAGAGTCAATTTTTGTGTAAGAACTGCAAATATGTATGTCTATTTTTGCTAAAAAGAAAAGCTGAAAAGTGGGAGAATGTATAGAGAAGGAAGTAAAATTTCAGAAAATCTCTTTCATGCTAGGCACAGTAGTACATGACTATAATCCCAGCATTCAAGAGGCTGAGGCAGGCAGATTATGAATTTAAGGGTGGCCAGGGCTATATAGTGAGATCCTGTTACAAAACAAATACATTTTAACAATGTTTTGGCTTTGGACCATGTAAATGTTTTATACATCAAAAATAAAGTTAGAAAGAAAATGAAAAACATTCTAGAAATGAAACTATCACTTCTTGGCTCTTTGGTTAAGATAAAGTGTAGCACTAAAAAACAGAGCTGTAGGGTTTGGTGATGCAGTGTGGAAGGAAGAGAGGGTTTCAGGCAAATTAGGAGGATGACTTTGCTGTTTCCGCACATGGGAGCCTAGCAGAAAGAACAGGAGGGATGATAATCAGTATTCAGGTTTGAGCATGCTACATTTGAGATGGTTAGGCCTCTATCGAAGTGGAGATGCAAAACACACAGCTGGCTTCCTAAGTCTGGAGACCAAGGATGAAGTCAGGTTAGATATATAATTGTGAAAGTCATAGGCATACAGCTGATGCTTAAAGCCATAAGGCAGGATGAGAGCACATGCTGAAGAGGGAAGACACGAACCTGAGGACCCTGGGGATTCAATGGTCAAGGAAACAAACAGGAGCCATTCAGCAAGGAAAGAGGAAAAGGCGGGAGCTGGGCATCCTGGAAGCCAGGGCTACTAGTCATTTTCCTCGCCGCTGTGTTCAAAAGCAACTTAAGGAAGGAAGGGCTTATTTTGACTCAGTGTGAGAGTCTGTCATGGTGAGCAAGACATGGTGGCAGGAGCTTGAAGCAGCTGGTCACTGCATCGGCAGTCAGGAAGCAGAGAGATGACTGCTGGTACCCAGCTGGCTTCCTCCTTTTCCCTTCTTGATTCTTTGGTTGTTAGCCTGAGCCTTTAAGGGCCAAGCTATCCATTTAGCTTCCTTTCCCCTTCTTATTCAGCCTGGTTCTGTCCATGTTCGGGGTGGGTCTTCCCACTTCACTTAAACCTCTCTGGAAACACCCTTACAGACACATCTAGAAGTTTGTCTCCTCGCTGATTCCAAATCCAGTCAAATTGAGAATGACAGTGAACCATCACGCCAAGAGAAAATGGCCAGCTGTGGCGAATCAGCAGGTGACAGAGAATGCCCTCTGGTCTTGGCATTGGTCTTTTCAAGAGTCCTTTTGGATGGGGGTGAAGGGGAGGAGAGTTACTAACCGGAGTGGTCTGCAGGGAATGAAAGCCCACTGCATGGAGATGGGGAATATAGTTGTATGTTTAGGGTCCATCTCTGAGGCAGAGTGGAGAATGGAGCTTCTGTTCTCTAGAGGGAGCATGGAGTGAAGGGATGGCCAGTGGTTTATGACAAGCCGTGGTGGCATGAACCTATGCTAATGGCAATGGTCTGGAAGAGAAGGGAAAATATGACAGCAAGTGAGAAAGTCTTACCTAGTTTATAAAGATGAGGGGAGGGTTGGGAGACAGTTCAGCCAGTAAAGTGCTTGCTGTGCTAGCATGAAGGCCTGAGTTCAATTCCCAGAAGCCATGTAAAAAAAGGGAGGGGACGGAGATGCTGGAGAGATGGCTCTTGCAGAGGTCCCAGGTTTGGTTCCTAACACCCACATGGTGGCTAACAACCATCCATAACTCCAGTTTCAGGGGACTTGACACCTTCTTCTGTCCTCCTTGGCCATTGCACGAACATGGGTGCACGTACACACATGCAAGTAATACACTCATACACATAATAAAATAATAAATAAAATATTTTTTTTGAAAAAGCCAGGCCTGGCGATGTGACTTTTAATCCAAACATAGGGAAAGCAGACAGACAAATCCCTGAGCTTACTAGCCTGCCAGCCTACATGAATCAGCAAGACCCAGGCCAGTGAGAGATCCTTCTCAAAAAGCAAGGTAGATAGGGACTGAAGAAGACACCCTAAGTTGATCTCTAGTCTCCACATACATGCACGCATGCACAGACATGCGCCCATGCATACATGTACATGTACACGTACACACATACCCCCAAAAATAAAGACGAAGGAATGAGGTTCGCAGATGCTAGAATGGTGGTGATCCAGCTCACAGAACAGGACAAGGCTCCCACCTCCAGACCCATTGTGTCTCTGAATGAGCAAGCAGGGCTCTGACTCTGCCTATAAATGGCCACAGACCTGTGAGTGGCTTCTACTCCTGCCACCAGGGAGACAAGTTGCCACTGAGGGACTATAAAAGCCAAACCACCTCCATTAATCAGCCCGTAGGATTAGATATGAATGGCTGAAGTCCTGCCAATGAGCTGCAGCTGGGGCAGCTGACCAGCAGAATCAGGAGGCCCTTAAGCAAAAGCACGCCTCTGACAGCTTCCTGGAAGCCTATCTGAAGAATGACGGCAGAGCTCAAACAGAGCAGTCTGGACCACGGAATCTCCTGCTGCTGCAAACCAGAGCAGCACAAACCAGAAAACACGGTGACCTATGGGCGTCGGAAGATCTCTCACTTCCTTGGCTCGTAGCTGGGTGGTCTGCACAGTGGCTCAGCGTGGTCAGTGTTTGTAAAAATGCCCAGTTTTTTTTTCTTCATATACCTGCACCCCTTGATGTTAAGGAATGGGTATATGTTTCCCCAGCCTTTGATTCTGGGCTAGCCTTATACTTGTTCTGCTCTACAGAATGCAGTCAAGATGATGGAGCGTGGGATCCCAGCCTAGGACTCAAGCTGCACACTCTCAACTTATACCTCAGAGCCCTGCTGGGCTGCCATGGCAACAAGCCTATACTTGTCTGCTGATGGTGGACCATGCAACACAGATAAACCATCATAGTTCCTGGAGGAGTCAGGATCCAACTCCTGCCTTCCCTGTTCAGGGGCAGCTAGCTTCTAGCACACTCTGGACCTCTCTGATGATCCAGGCTCCTTGACTTTGGCTATTGTGAAAGTTAAAGAAAAGAAGACATGAAAAGTGCCCGGCATAAAGGGGTGGTCCACCAGCGCCACACTTTGGGGGGATCAAACATGCTTCACTGACCATCTTATCAGTTATTTTGGAAGCAAAAATTCTCTTACTCTTGACATGCTTGAGTGTGTTCTCTCTCGTCACTCCCTCAACACCCTGTCTACAACTGAGAAATTCTTGCATACCTTATTGTTCCTAAGCAAAGAAACAACAGGCTGTTATCTCAAAACCAGAAGAGCCCTGATGTTTTCTGACCCTTGAGCATTTCCTTGTTGAAGCATCTCTCCTTGACATTATTCAATAAAATCCAGTTTAAACTTTTATATATATATTTTACGTGTATGAGTATATTGCCTGCATGTATGCAAGTGCACCCGTGTTGTGCAATGCCTGCAGAGGTCAGAAGAGGGTGCTGGATCACCTGGAACTGGATTTAGGGACAGTTGTTAGCCTCCATGTGGGCATTGGTGACTGAATCTGGGTCCTCTGCAAGGGCAGTCAGTGTTCTCAACCATCTCTCCAGCCCCCAATTTAAACTTTTTATAACAGCTATTAAACATGGCTAAAGGGGAATTCTGATAGTAAAAGGTGGATAGAGACACTTGTGTCCTCGGGAAGGCTTATACAGACCAAGTATGAAAAGTCCCTATGCTGAACCTGTTAAGCGCTCCCTTCCTCTTTCCCTCTTAAAAGAGAGGAGTGCCCTCTGTGGGTCACCTGGGGCAACTGCAGTATTGGTGCCTTGATACAGTAGGGACATTAATATTCTTCTTAGAGATGGGAAAAGAGATTGGAGAGAGGGAAAGAGAGGAGGAGGAGGAAGAAGAAGAAGATGAGGAGGAGGAGGAGGAGGAAGAGAAGGGGGAAGAAGAGGGGAGGAGAAGGGAAGGTCTGCATTCCTAAGTCAAGATTCCCTACTTCTGTATGAACATAGAGGTTGACCTCTTCTCACCCCTCAGTGTGCAGATGGAACACTGGGTTATATCATCCCTGAAGCCCCCAGACCACTGGGCTGGTACAGAAGGAGATTGTGACATGTTTCAGGGTGCCCCAATATGTGAGCAGAGGCCATTGCCGCTCCATCTTCGGGGGGTCTCTGCTACTTCCTGATTCTTTCTCCTTTACGGTTCTGTCTGGGAGCCTCCAGGCTCTTTGACTTTTGTTGGTGATCTCACCGTCTATGCCTGACCTTGGCCTCAAGCATTCACTCTTCCAACTCATAGCTGGTTCTTCTTCCATGTTCTTTTCCAAAAATATTTTGCCTCTCCAGATCTTTATTTTTTCACATGGCTTTTGCACTGGGAACATTCGCAGCCTGTATCTCTGTAAAACCATTCCCGTGGTTCTCCTGTAGAACTCCAATTCCATCTTTGCTTCTCAGTCTATTCTCCACCTTTCTTTACTGTGTCATGGTGCACATGCTGTAAGTCCACCTACTCGGGAGGCTGAGGCAGGGGGCAAGTTCAAGGCCAGTTCTGGCAATTTAGTGAGACACTATCTCAAAATTAAGAAAGGGGAGACTGGAAATACAGCTCAGTGGTAGAGCATGTGTTTGGCATGTTTGAGGACTTGGGTTCATCTCTAGTTCTGAAAAACAAACAAAACAAAACAAACCCTACAAATGTATTATCTCCTGGCTCTGGTGGTCTGGAGCTGCTGATAGGAACATCCTGTGCAAACCTGTCAGTGGACATACTTACTTCTCACCTACTGGACAGAGGACCGCCCTCTGAACTTCTCAGCACTTTCAAGGTTGGAGTTGGACTCGTCTTTACCTGTGGAGTCATGGCTGGCACAGGGCAGAGGAGGAGGGGTGCTGATGGTCTGGGATCCCCACACTCTGGCAACATCCCTAAGGATGCAAGATGTTCTCAGACTATACTAAGCAGCATTTTATGTAAAATGTACAACTCCCTCCTTGTGAATGTGATGGAAATTAAGGCTGGCTAATCTACAGGAGACAAGCAGACCCATATAGTCTATGAAAGATCCATTTGGCCAAACTTCATTTCGAACCTAAGACCCACTTCAGTAGTAGGAAAGAACAGAGATGCTGCTTCTCTTGAATGTTCCTTGTTAGTTCAGATAATCAATCAGCTTTATTCACTGATTCCTGTGATATTTATAGGCTAAGGATTGGACTGGTCACCAAACATACAGAGAGGGACAAAAGGTGTCTGCTGGACAGAAGGCAAATAAACCAGCTTAATAGAACACATTTGGTAGTGTTCCTTCCCTTTCTATCTTGTGGGGTGTTCTGAGCAATAGAGACATTCCTTTCTAAATGTGTGACAGGACTCAGGTGTGACTCCATCTTGACCTTTGTTGTTGGGAGACTTTGTTCCTGTTCCACTCTCCTTGCTAGTTATACATGTTTGCTTATACCCTCTTGGCATACCTTTGGTAGTTCACATGTGTTTCTAAGAATATATATTATATATTTATATATATATATATATATATATTCTTAAAGATTTTAGTTATGCCCTCTGCTTCCCTGGGCCTGCAAAACCCACTGGCCTCTCTCCTGAGTAAGTCCATCACGCCCTCCTTGCCGTGACTCCCCCAGCTTCATTCACCATCCCATCTCCCCTGGCCATCTCTACTCCTAGCCTGGGTACTGTCCCATTCATTGTCTTGGCACCCCAGACACCGGGGGAATCACCACTGCTTCTTGATCCTTTGCAACCAGACCAACCCAGTTCCTTCTTGTGGACCACAGGAGTGCTCTGGGCCTGGTCCCACCCTTGCCTCCCTCTGCTTCCCTGGGCTGGACAACTCGCCAGCCTCTTTCCTGGACACCAGGGCTGACCTTCCGGCTTCCTGATCCTTTGCATCCAGAACAACTCAGCTCCTCCCTGCAGTCCCCAGGAGCCCTTGGGGCCTCTTCCCACCCCCCTCTCCCTTTGCATCTCTGATTGGCACGGCCACCAGTTCCCCTAGACCAGCATGTTTCCTGGGCCCTGCTCCCAGGCCAGTCCAACCTTCAAATTCTTGAGGACAACATCTTTCCTGGAGGGATCCAGACCTTAGGAGAAAGCCTGAGAGCATCTGATCCTCATCTGACTTGGGCCTCTGTGGGAACTCTTAAAGACAAGAGCAATCTAGGCACTCCAATATAAAATCAAAAGAGAAAACAGGAAGCTTAGACGGACCAGCTTTTCATGCCCAGAAAGTAAACCAAAAAAAACACATAAAGTTTACAAAAAGAAGCAGACCTAAACTTGAAGGCTTGCGTCTCACACAAAAATGAGAAACTATAAAAGTTATTCACATCTCAAAATCACAGAGAAAAAATAATAACATGAAAAACCAAAATAACATATCCCCACCAAATACCAATAGTTTTCTAGAGTACAAAAAGAACCCCCTAGATAGAGGAGTATGATGAGAACCCCCTAGAGATAATGCAGGACATGGAACTCAACAGAACAACTGCAAACATGATAAAAGAATTCAGCGAATTTAAAGAACACACAAAGAAATCAAAGAACTGAAGGAAGATAGGGATAAACTTCTGAATGAACTCAGAAGAGTTAGAAATATTGAAGACAACTCAGGCTGAAATGAAGAAGGAAGTCAAACACTCAGTAAGCCAATTAGAAACAACAGGAGAAAGCTTCACCAATAGGATGAATGAAATGGAAAACAGAGTATCAAGACTGAAAGATAAAGTGAATGAAGAAGACCACTCAAAAAAAGATTATGAAAAATTTAAGAAAGTACAAGAACGGAACATGCAGGAATTGTGTGACACCATAAAAAGACCAAACTTACGTATCATAGGCATACAGGAAGGAGAAGAATCCCAAGATAATGGCATGGACCAGGTCCTCAACAGAATCATAGAGGAAAATTTCCCAAAATTAAAGAAAGACATATCCACATAAATACAAGAAGCATATAGAACACCAAACAGACAGGACCAGAAAAGAAACTCTCCATGGCACATCATAGTAAAAACACTAAATTTACAAAACAAATTGATAATACTGAAAGCTGCAAAAGAGAAAAAACAAGTCACATATAAAGGAAAACCTAACAGGATTACAGCTGACTTTTCAGTGCAAACGATGAAAGCCAGAAGAGCCTTCCCATTTATAAATGACCACAGATGCCAACTCAGATTACCATACCTAGCCAAAATACCTATTATAGTCGAAGGGGAAAGAACAATCCTCCATGACATAAATAGGCTGAAGGAATTCATGTCCACAAAACCAGCCCTTCAGAGAGTTCTGGAAGCAATACAAAGAGCTGAAGAAACGAATGACTATACCCAAGGGGTTGTGGAAAGAAATTCAATGAAGGTGTAACTGTGGAAAAGTACAGCTATATCAAGATGTAAACAGAAATAAAAATGACAGGATTCAATGCTCATCT